TAGAGAAATGAGACAAAACCTCCAACAGGAGAAAGAGAGGTGAAGCTGTCAATGCCAGAGGGGTGCTTTTAAAATACAAATCTTAACAGGTCTCTCCCCTTCTCATAAGTCTCCAATGGCTCCCCATTAACTGTGGGATAAAATCCAAAATCCTTAGTAAGTCACACTAGGCTCTCAGTACCCTGGCCCATGTATGCCTAGGCAACTCATTTCACAGCCTCCTCTGCAGTGACTTCACAGTATGTCCAATTCTCTGATCACACCTACATTCTCTTGGCCTGAATTTGATTTCCTGCCCTCGCCCCATTTCTTTGCTGTGTAACTCTACCTTCCTTCACTTCAGGAGGACGACTTCGCCTTACTCTGCATGGCTTCCTCAACACCCTGGCTGTGTTAATCATCATTTATCACACTGCACTGGAGCTGGTTACCTCCCTCGAACCCACACAGACCTGGACTGGTTTTGGCATCCTACAAAGCTGATGTTAAAAGGTTTTTCTGAATATGGAATTTCTGAAACTCCCTATTTTGGGGTCAGTTTGGCTCGATGACCTTATATTAAAGGGGACAAAGAAGGTGGGCTGCTGGTGTTCATGGCCAGTGTGGCTGTTTCTCCAGGTGGACAAAGATGGCAGACTTGTAAGTTATACAGTAACATTTCATTTGGATAATAGTCTGTTTCGCAATAGTTACGATGGTGTGCCTACTCCTATCATTTAAAAAATGATAATTTTACTTGACAATGTAAATGCTTTTAATATATTGAAATCAATTAGGAATAATTAGACATCTCATTTTTTTTAGGAGGCCAATTTTATAAAGTGCCAAATTTGCATTCATTTTCAACTTTTTTGATCACTTGTGGTCCATATTTCTTTCCACATGTTATATGATTTGTATTACTGAACTTCAAGGTTATCGCTCAACTTAACATGCTACCATATTTACAAATACTCCAAAATTATTTGCTTGGTAAATGGCATTCTTCTGATGTTTACACACCAAGGAGAATAGACAATTATACAAATTAGAAAAAGTCTTATTTCTACAACTTGACTAGCAATTATTTAAGAACAGAGGCTTTCTTTTATGTATATTATATCCCAATGTCCATCATAGTCCCTGTTATATGTTGAATCATGACCTCCAGAAAGATATGTTGACATCCCAGCCCTCGGTACCTCAGAATGTGATATTATTTGGAAATTGGGTCTTTGCAGATGTGATTAGTTAAGAAGAGGTAACACCTTAATCCAATATGACTGGTGTCCTTATAAGAAAAGGGTCATGTGGTGAAAGACACAGAGGAAGAATGCCACGCGAACACAGTCAGATATGTAATGTCTATAAGCCAATAACTGCCTCTGTCACCAGAAGCTAGGAGAGAGGTGTGACACAGACTCTCCTTCAAAGCCCTCAGAAGGAATCAACACTGTCAACACCCTGATTTCAGACTTCTAAGAACTGTGAGACAAGAACATTTCTGTTGTTTTAAGCTACCTAGTTTCTGGTGCTTTGTTACAGCAGCCTTAGAAAATGTGCCAAACATGCAAAAGTAGTTTAGTAATACTTTTCATATTGAACTGAATTTCTGCTACTTCAGAGAGAAAAAAGTAGGCACATCTGTTTTTAAAATTTCCGTTGGAAATCTGACAATGTGTATGAAAAACCATAAAAATGACCATATCTGTTGCCAACGTATTCCACTCCTGGAAGACTATTATAAAGAAACAAACCCCAATTTGTTCAATGATGTGTCTGCAAAGATAAGTATTACTGTAACAGGTTGTTTATAATTTGTTGCTAATATACCTATCCCAAAACGGAGGATTAGTTAAGTAAATCACTTTGTAATTACTGGATTATAACACAGATAACAGGACTTTTGGAAATAATAGAAGATGAAAAATGCTTACTATATGTCATATGGAAAACACAGAATACTAAAATCCTACATGGAGTGAGGTAGGAAAACATGCATAGAAAAAAAGAGAGACAAAGGTAAAATGGCGAAAATATTCATTGTGTTAGAATTAAGCTCAGTGGGTCAGAACTCTTTTCCTGGCTCCCTAACCTCATCATTTTGGTACCTACGTCCTGTCTTCTTTTCTCCTCACATCAAATCTCCCCAGTGGGGGTGGCCAATTGGCTCAGTTGGTTAGAGCGCAGTGCTCATAACACCAAGGTTGCTGGTTCGATCCCCACATGGGCCACTGAGATGCACCCTCCACAACTACAACGAAACAACTACTCGACTTGGAGTTGGCACGGCCAGAGCTGAAGGGTCCTGGAAAAACACACTGTTCCCCAATTAAATAATAAAAAATAAAGAAATCTCCCCAAGCAAAGCCATCCTTTCTTGACAATGCCTCTTAGGATTAACCCAGGCCCACAATGCCTTATACAAAGGTATTGGGGGAAAGATTCCTATTTGGTTTGTCTGCAGTCTCATCCAACTATCCTATCTACTGCCAGAATAAGACCATCATTCTACAGCCAAATATATCTACTGTGGTAATCCCGTCATTTATGTTTTAGTCACTTTTATGTATGTTCTGTTTTTCAATAAAAGTGGTTTGGGTTTTGTTTGGTTTTGGTTTTGGTTTTCGTACCTTACTGTGGTTTCATATCTTGTTTTGCTAAGACAAGGTTAGGATTCATGTTTCCTGCCGATATGGTCCTACTTTATTACACTTCTGAGAGTAATGTTGAGCCAGGGTAGCTGGGTTCCTGTTTGCAGCCGTGGAGTTGGCAGAGGTCTTGTATTCTTCTTCTACAAGACCTATCAGCTCCCACATGTCAACCAATGCAAACCCTTTAACATTCTGTAAAACCTCTGCTGAAAAATTTCACAGTTTTCCACTATCACCAAATCTACCTGATCTGTGCTACCTTCATTCATATCATATTCCACAAACATTTATCAAGCAACTGCTACTTATAAATCCTGAGATATAATGCCCTAAGATGTTTAAAATCTTTTTGTGGACATCAAACATTTATGAAAGGAGATAACCAACAGTAGAAAATGGCATGTGATCAGTGATAAATGAGTGTTCAGGGTGGGGAGGAGGGAGATTGGTGAAGAGAAGACGGGCAGGGGCTGAGGCTGGTGAAGGCGAGAAGGGAGCGACCAGGGAAACGTCGAATAGAAGAGATTTCATGATTAGGAGAGGGGTGACCAGACACAGGACCACTGAGTATGGCACCTGAGTGACTAGGATAACAGTGGGGGCCCTGAAAGAAATCATGTCACCTGGAAATGCTTTGGGGCAAAGCAGGGCAAGTCCAAATGGAATATTACAGTTTGCACTGAGTGACAGATGCTATCCTTTGAGTAAGACACAGGGAAAGCACAGGCTCTCAAGCCAGATAAGTGGAGGTGGTAACGGAAGCAACCAAGTTCTATGACATCTTAAAAAGAAGATGAAGCTAAACTAGTACAAAGTCACACAAGAAGGAAAAGAGGGACCTGAGAGAGAGCCTGGTCAATGATGCTTGACACAGCACAGTACTTCAGGAAACAACGGAGGAAGAAAGGCTCTCTAGGAGAGGCAGTATGCACAGTGGTTAAGAGCCCCCAGATCTGGACCACAGCCCCTGCGTTGGAATCCCCTCCTGCTACTTGTGTGCCCTTGGCCAAGTTCCTGTGTCTCAGTTTCTTCATCCACAAAATGAAGATAAGATTATCATTCACCTCACAGGATCATTGGGAGGATTAAGAGTTAATACAAGTTCTTAGAACAGTGTCCCACACATACAGCCCTTGATAAATATCTGCCCTTGGAGGAAAAGATTTATTTTTAGTCCTCAGTGACCTTGGGGAGAACAATTTCTAGCCAGTAGTAGGAGCAGAAACTACCAAGGAAGGGAATTAATAAGCACGTGAACGGTAATAAGACGGAGTCCACAAAGTATCCACGACTTTCACAGCAGTTACACAATAAAAGTGAGGGGTGAAATACAGACGAACCTGCCGGTAGAGGGTTAAGTGAAAATGCTTTCCGAGGGAATATCTCAGCAAGAAGGAAAAGGCCTGGCTCGCCAAAACTATTCTTCATTCGCTGTGGGACTGGCTTCCCCATCGCACAGGGAGATGGACCGGGTAGAGACTGGACCCTTCCTGTCCCAGCTCCCCAGGGAGCTCAAAAGAGCGTTGTCCCCGCATCCGGTAAGTTGGGATCAGCGCTGACTGATTAGGAGGAGAGGCCCATTTCCTAACGAAAGCAACCTTGGAAGGTGAAACAGGCTTTCCCATTTCCTTGTTCTGCACGACCTGTTCCACCGCTCTGTCCTACTCATCACCCCCTCCTCGGCCCCCAGCGGCCGCCGGGACAGGATGCAGCTCCGGGAGCCAAAGAGGCCGCGCCCCGCTGCAAGAGCATCACCCCAAGTTCCCTCCGACCTCAAGGACAAAAAAGCACCCCAGGGGGGAAGGGAGCAGGAAGAAAGGGGTTCAGGAATTCCGGGGGGGTGGCTAAGCGAGGCCAGATCCCGGAGCTGGGAAAACGACCTCAGTGGCCAAGGTCGAACAGGTCCTTCTGTCTCCCAGTCCCATCGGCGAGCACCTCTGCCCTCCTGCCCGGAGCAGCAGGGCCCACGCCGCGTGGGAGCGCTTGGGGGAGGCGCAAAGCCCCGCGATGGCCTGGGATCACCGTGCCTTTGGGATTCTAAGGCAGGCGGGGGGGGGGGCTTCCAAAAGAGGGCGCAGGTGCACACTGCGGTCCCGTCCTCCAGCGGGGAAGGGACTTCGCCCTCGGCACCGCAGGCCGTGGCGTGGGAACTTCCGAAGGGCCCCGTACCCCGAGCCCCGGGAGGGCCCTGCGAGGCTCCCCGAGGCTCCCGCATCCGGACCCCACTCCCCGCGCGCCGCACCCAAGTTCTTCCATCCGGCGGCTCCCGACACCTGCCCTCAGGGTCCCTCTCCCTCCTCCCACCTCGTCCTCTCCGCGCCCAGGAAAAGTTTGGACCCGCCGGCGGGCCCGGAGCCCCGCACTCACCCTGCGGGGCGCGGAGCCGAAGCGCCGGGCGCGCGTGAGAGCGGAGGGCGGCGGCGCGAGCGCGGAGCTCCTCACGGCGGCCCTTGCTGTCCCGGCCGCCGGCCAAGCTGGGAGAGGCGAGGAGGCCGCCGGGGTGCCACCTGCCGGCTCTCCCACCCAGCTGCGTGACGCCACGCGGCGCCGCCCCCAGCCCGCCCGCCTCCGCGGCCGCCAGGTACCCGCTGGGGGCTGGTGGGAGGAGCGCCGCCCGCCGGGGAGGGAGCGGCCGGGAGGGGCGCCGCCTCGGTCACCCCGCCTCCGCCCGGCTCCGCGCCGCGCGCCCGGGCGCTGGAGCGCTGCCCGGGGACGGGCGACCGCTGGCCGCTGTGGGATATCGGCTCTGACCGAAAAGCGAATTACATTGCTTTCTGAGCACACATGCCATCATCACCTGAGGTCATCTCACCTGAGGTCACCTCGAGGCTTACCTTGAACTGTGAGAAAACTGCCGTCAGGCATGACTCAGGAATGAGTTGTAGAAAAATCTGAAATGAGGAAAACCTGGCCGAGGTGTGATGCTGTCGGCGGAGAGGCAGGAAAAGGGTATCCCTGCTCCTGAATAAAGCATACTTCTTAAATAAAAAGGACTAAGTCTTAAATAAAATGGAGACCAGACCCAGCCAGGGCGAGAAGCCCACTTTAAGTCACCTCCATGCCCTGCTTATTAAGAAACTGGAGAATTGCTGCAAATTTTGGGGAGTGGAGGAGGCTTTTGGAGCCATGAAAATCAAATTGTGTATCATGTAAGTTAACTTCTTTCCTGGTTAATAACAGCAGCTGCTGTAGGGAACAAAGATTGGCAAACTTTCTCCTTATCTGCTACTCTTGGGTTGGGAAGTGGGGCGAGGATGAACGTCAGGCATGTATGTGTATGTGCCCTCCGTTATTTAAGTTACTTGGCCTTGTATTTGGTTATGATCTTCTTTACTGCTGTTACGTTTTGGAATCATGGCATCAATAGCTGGAAGGCTAAATCATGAACTGGAATTGAGTTATCTTCCAGAAGCTTGAAAAATAACCTCAGGGGGTTGCAGTCCTGATCCAAGCACCTCACAAACGTGGCCTGTGGGTTTGTGCTGTGAGTTTTAAAGCATGGAATCATGACAAAAGGATCAAGATGATCAGGAAGGGTGGGTAGGGAGGACAATAAAACAGATTTTAAAAATCCACCTTTCATAGATGTTTGCATAGCTAGCTCCCTCACTTTGGGTCGTTACTCAAAATTCATCTTTTTCAGTGGGGATTTTCCTGGCTGCCCTATCTAAAATTTTAATGCCATTTCTCCCCCCCACTTGTAATTCTCTCCCTTTTTTTCCCTTCTGTGCACTTTTCAATAATATATCTGATTTTTCCTACTCTATTGTCTTTTTCCTCCACTTCAGTATAAGGCCATATATTCTCTTTCAAAACTACATTCCTCTCATTCCATTTCCATTTCTTCAGTTTCAATTTTAAAGTCATGCTAATAACATCCATTCTCAATGGAAATATTTAAGCATGGCAAAGGATTTGGTCTGTTTTATTAACTGGCACATAGTTAAGAAAAATTGAGACATATATCCACACAAAAACTTGTACACAAATGTTCATAGCAGCATTATTCACAATAGCAAAAAAGTGGAAATAATCTAAATGACCATCAACTAATAAGCCGATGGATATGTGGTATAGCCATATAATTGACTATTATTTGACAATAAATAAGGAATAAAGTCCTGATACAAGCTGCAACATGGATGAATCTTGAAATCAGTTTGAATTACAAGGGGGAAGCTGCTAATAGAGGGTTTAAAAGCAGTAAGATAAAAAGTGCCTGGTTTCATGATGATCTTGGAACCAGCATACCAGCTGAGGACTTTCATCAAAAGAAATGCATTTATATTTTATCTAAGCTATGCTATGCTGGGTTTTCAGGTAAACCTAATTTTAATTCCTAAAAACTGCTGCCATTGGGCAGGCATTTTCAGGTTTATCATAATTCCCAGCATGACCTAATGTCGTCCTAACATTGACCAGAAATTGCCAGTCATCATATCAGACTTATTTTTCTCCATCAAAAATAGAAAAATGAAAGACAGACATGGCCATGTGTTTCATGAGAAGCAGAAGAGCATGTCTAGTCCTACGTGACTAATACTGCACAGCATCTATTAATGCACATCATAAAATGTACATGACTTATGAAGCTATTATGAAACTAACCACAGTAACAATTATGACCAGAATAGCAAAGACATGTAATGACAAAATTCACTTAATAAATAACTTAATGGACTGAAAACATGGACTGGGATTATAGCAGTGATAGTGGTGTAAGATGTATTAAGTAAAAAATTTTCTTGGCATGAAAACTTTTTGCTAATGGTGGGTTTACAAAAAGTTTGATTGCGACAGAAATTGCTTTCTGAACAGAAATTAACATTTGCAAATCTGAGTTTGACCAGGTATAATATTTCCTAGCATGCTAAAGCTGGGGTGAAAGTACAAAGTTGTATGAACAGGTTAAATTATTTACACACCCCCTTCCCCCAAACAATGAGTGTACAGATATAAAAGATATAACCACTACTCAATTAGCTTTAGTATTTGTGATTTCCACAAGATTTTAAGTGTTTGAATAGCTTTTGGACATTGTGCCAGTAATGGGCATATCAGGAAATAATTTTTTGCATGTGATGAGTAAACTGGATAAATAGGACGACGGCAGGATGTGATCCAGTGCTAACACTGACTGGACTTGTTTTACAAAACGTAAATCTATGGTGGCAGTTGGCACAAGTCATACAACATGCTTATTTTATAATTCAGTGGGAACCATGTTTAATTTACAAATAGAGAACATGTCATGAATGTAGTAGTGAATACTATGAAAGGGATGTGCTACCCTAGTTTGAACTACAGGAGACATGTCAATGCTTTACTTGATGAACTGTATGTACTATAGATGTATTGCCAGACTGAAGAGATTTTTTTGGATGGTTATAAGAAATGGGTTTGTGCTATTTAAAGAAAGTGTCAGCTGAACTTATTAGTGAAGATTTAGTCAAAGATTGAGACTTTGATTGACATTATATACACTCTTTTTCTCTACAACCAGTTACACAAGTGAATCATCCATTTTATTCATCAAATTTCTAACCAAATTGTGCATTTGGGAAACTCAGTTAACCAGGAAAACTCTGGCCTATTTTCATATGCAGAAATTATTTTCCAGAAATTTAAGTGATGATTACCCCTTGTGAAGGTAAGCACTGAATTCTAAAAAAAAGTTATTTCAAATACTTATAAAAATGAACAAAACTTGGATCAGTTTGCTTTTGCAGTTAATGTTGATAATGTGAATAAAGAACTAAAAAATGGTAGTACATTGAAGTGTAGTTCTGAGAACTAACCATGAATCGAATTCTACAGACAACTCAGATATCTTAAATATACAAAAAATTATTGAGCAAGGACTGTTTTAGAAAAAAACATATCTGTGAAAAACTTTTACATTAATTTAATAAAATTAATATTGCTTCCATATAATATAGAAGAAAAATGTCATACTTCTCTGGCTCAAGATAAAAAATGAATTACAGAAGAAAAACAACCAAAATATTTACTTTTAATTAGGTACTTGAATTTTAAATTTAATCTCTAATATTATATATGTATGAGTATTATGTTACATGCTGATAATATTAAAGTGCAATAAAAAGAAAGGGTATGATTACAATTCTTATATTTGATTTTTGTTACCCCCATCCCTCCACTCATTTATCATGTTCTCCTGCCCTTTAAAAGCATCTTGCCCTTTCTGCATTCCTTCTGGATACAAAGATAATCAATGACCTGAAACTTGTAAAATTTCCAGAATATGTTATTTTTCCATAACTGGGGTCACAAGAGAAGAAAGTCAAGAACTTTAGAGCCAAAGGCAATGAGGAAATTCAGTCCAACCATAACATTACCAGGTAGGCATTGGCTTGAGTTGAAGACTATATTTATAAATTTAAAGTCAAGGTTTTAAAGATCCCCTAATTTTGTTTAGCTATTGAGAGTCACAAAGCAAGTCCCCCGTATAACAGTAGCCCTCTAAAGGATTCAGGGAAGATCTATGTTGGGTCAGCAACAACCTTGAGAAGAGGACCCTTTGCCATTTTGTGAGAAGACTATCAGATTAAAGTAATACCAAGGTTATTACCTAATATTTAATAAGTTAAAATTTTATACATAGTAAATTACAAAAATAACACAATTAAGCATTTTATCATTTGCAAATTGTGAGTGAAGTTTGTTTTGCAGGTAAGTGCTTTATAATGGTGTTAATCGCTAATTAATTCAATAAATAAATATATATTTTTTCAATCGTCTATTTGCCAAATTATGTTCCAGGTCCCGAGGCTACAGCAATAAACAAAATAGACCAAATCCCTGCCCTACGGAGTGTACATTCTAGAAGGAAGACAAAATAAATAAGGAGGTGAAATCTGAGAAAATTTTGGTAAGAATTCAGAACCCAATAATCTCAAGATTTTAAATAGTAAGAGTTCTATTAGCTGAACATTTCTTACATGACAGAACTTTATTTCAACTCTGCAAAGTATATTTTATTTGTTTTTCACAAATTGCTAAATAAAACAGCTAATCAGTTGTGGCTTCATAATAATTTGGATGGAAACTTTAAAAGTTTTAGTTTAGGCTAAAACAGCATTCTCTCAGCGTTCCATCAGAATTTGAGTGTTCATTCAGTAAACGATAATTCAAGAAATTTTTATAAAGATACTCCACCTTTGTCTTCAATGAACTCAATTAATCTTGAATAAAAATCTTTACTTATATATTCCATACAGTAAATACCACTTTAAAAATGCTTTCTAAGTATTACAATGTGTGATTTTGGAGCAGACTGAATGTAACAATTTTCTATCCTAGTTTTCTGTACCCTTCCTTTCTTTTGTTTAACTAATGAGAAAAAGAAAGTAAAAATATGTGATTCAAATTCACATGTTTACTTGGTGGTAAAACTAAGACAAAGGCTCAGGTCTTCTGGTTTCCAGTCCATTGTTTATTATTTTTTTCTTTATGAAACCATTACAGTTATTTTCTGATAATCTTACCATTCTTTAATGTTCATAGTGATCATCATGGAGTTATTTTTAATACTTTTTTCCTACCGTACTTACTGAAACTGACAAAATTTTGCATATATACTATACATAGAAAAACAATGAAGCAGTACAATAAAAACAGTTAACTCAAGCCTCAAGGACTTATTAGGAGCATTATTTCCTCATTTGAGCACAACTCTAGCAGTATATTTACATAGCAAATGTACAGATTCACACAAGAGTGGATGATGCCACTCTGCGGGCTGAAGAGAGGCTGGGGAGTGAGCCTCCTAGGAAGTAGTAGCAGCTCCCAGGCCCCTGCTGGTGTTTGAACAGGGAGGTAACAGGCCCTAATTTAGTGCTGTTGCTCACTCTGGCCACTAAGGATGAGATGAACAAAACAGAAGCCACCTGAGCCAATCGTTTGTTGACTTCAAGAGTTGACCACCAATGCCTAGGAAACAAGGCCTCTGGCCAGGCCTAAGGCTCCACCCTGTGCTAAAACCACTGACAGCACATCAAGGCACAAAAAAATGAGGATCTGGAGTAACTTGGCCTCAAACATGGACTCACTTGTACTTTTAGTGACACGGTAACAAACCATGTTAGGCTTGTAACATTCATTTCTTTGTAAGCCTTGGGAGACCCATATTAACCCATCAGCACAGGAGATAAGCATTGTGTATTCTGGGAAGTAAAATGTGTCTTGGTTATTATAGTAATGTCTGTAACTCTGAAAGTAATAGTATGCTAGCAAGACTTTGTACTGTGTGGCTTTAATGTATGTGGAAATGTATGATTTTGACTTATATTTTGGATATCTGTGAGGCAAGAGAGTTCCAAATTTTGTTTGTTTGTTTCTCCTTAAAGGGACTATTTTTAGGCAATGGCCCAATAGTTTATAATACATGTAAAGATGGGGCTACCTGTTGGCCAGGACAAAGCTGTTGAGGTGCCCGACAGGCAGCCTGGAAAAGGTGTATTCTGCCACTTTGAGGTGAAGACAAACTATACCTCAGAGGCTGCAAAAATAGGCACGGAACAGAGCATGTTAGCCATATCTACAAGAGCAAAATACCTACTGGTGTTGACTGAACAGAATCAGTAATTTAATAATATTGGATATTGGGTGTAGGGACCCCAATGGACTGGGACTATATGAACATCATAGTAATCTACCATAAGTGTCCTTTTTATATCTGTTAAATAAATTCTTTAGTATATTTGGTATATCCATTTTGGATTTCTAATTAGATCAAATTATAAAACTTTGCTTTAATATTATGTATGTATTTATGTTTGGATTGATTTTTATCTTCTCTCCCTGTACCTAGGGGTCTGGTTTTGTTTTTCATTTAAGTCAGTAAGTAATTTAAGACTAGCATTGTTTGCTGGACTGGCACTAGCTCAGTACCTAAGATTGAAAGTTCCCATGTTTTCCCTTGGGCTTGTAGCCACAGAAAGGGACAGTCTTTTTTCCCTTTGTTTTCTTCCTGTTTCAGGCTTTTGCGCAAGCCCCTGAAGGCGCAGTCTTTACTTTCTTTTTCTGGCTGATAAGAGGAAAAGGAGGTAGGTTGAGGCGACCAGGGGCCTCTAGGTGTCCTCTCCCTGGGACGACCCTATCCACAGAATAATCAGTCCCTTCTTCACACCCCTATCCTTTTTAAAACAAAATCTTTCAGAATGGCTCGTATTTCTAGGCAGCTAAACTCTTTCCCTTTTTTCTTCTCTCGGATGTTTACCTAAGCTCCTGGTGGATCCCAGTGGCCTCTGCTATGAGCTGCAGCGCCCTTCGCTAAGGTGTCCCAATTGATTTTAGAGGGACTAGGTCTACATCTAAAGCAATGGTGGCATCCACTGTCACATTTTTGTTTTGTACATGAGACCCTTTTATGCTGATAAGCAGCAGCTCTTAAAAAAGCCCAGGAACATGGATTAGGTGTTTTGCACTTGTTATTAATTGGTCACCTCTTCAGGGCTGGAGGAGGGCTGGAACTAGATGCCTCTTTCCCTTCCTCACCTTTTTCATTAAACATTGAGCCACTGGTATGTGTGGGGATGGGACCTCTTACACCTCACTAGGTTGGGGAACACGTCATTTGCAACAGCAGTAAGCAGATACAGGAGAGAAGCGTACACATGACCTGAACAGCAACATCTGTGGGAGCCATGACCTCCTGAGGAGGCCCTCACATCAAATCCACCGGCTCTTAGCACGTGAGCAAATGTTCAGAGGAAGCCATCTCCTACTACTCTGAGGAACAGGTTGAAATTTGACTCAGAAAAGCTCAGAGGGGAAAAGGGAAGTGGTTGATGGAGTGACTCTAGGAGCGTGTTACTTCTTGGACACGAGGTACTTTCGATTCCTCAGGTGGCCCAACTGCTTCTCATTGCTGCCAGCTCAGTGGATTAGATTCCACGACACCAGGAGGTCGGTCACTCCTCATGCCCTTTGGAGGGACCTTTTCGAGTTGTGACCAATTACCTATACACCCCAGGGATTCTTTCCTGGACCCTGGGTACTCCACCAGCGTGAGGAAATATGCTGAGTGCCCGCCTCCTTTAGGTTCGGTAATCATGGCAATACCCACAAAAAAACACAATGCCTCCACGCAGCAAGCACACCAACAGCCAGGGGAGTCCTCTAAGGCAGTGGCCACTGACTTCTGGATCCAGTTAGCAAGCCAGTTAGCAGTTTAAGGACATATCTCCTTACGGTGTCAAACCACCCGGCTTGCTGCCAACTATGTTAGGCTTTGTACCTGGGATTTGTTCTAATCAGGTGGTAAGACATGCAGACAGGGACATGATTGTCATGAAGGAAGTTTATACTCACAGATCCCTAGAACATGGACACAGGCACATCATACCATGCAGGGCTATAGGGGGAAGGACCAGGGTCCTTCAGGGGGCCTCCTCTCTAGGGAGAGGGTAGAGCATGGTCCAGAGTCTTTATGGAGGTTTTCTGGGAAGGAACTGGCAAGCCAGGGTAGGTACACTGAGTAAACTTAGGGTTGGATATTTTGAATATTTTGGTCGACTCTGGGCTATGGTAATAGCCCTGGGGTGATTTTGGGCAGGGGGAATATTGGCTGAGAGTGTGAGTTTGATAATGGAGATGGCTCTGAGTGTGGACTCTGGATTGGTTGGTTTTATACCAAAGGCTCACTCCCAGGGGAGACACAGACAGTCCTGGAAGGGGCAGTCTCACCTGGATCAAGGTGCCAAATGCCACAGTATCAAGAATACAGAGAATAAGGAAATATAGCCAATACACTTAGTTATACCAAATGAGAGGGATTTCTATAAGCTGTAACTGGAAAAAAAAAAAAAGAAAGAAAAAGGACAGAATTGTGTATATCCCATTTTTGCAAAATAAAAATACTTCCCCATCTATGTCTACATAGGTCCATACAGGATTGTAATGTGAAAGAACATACACTTGGTTAATAACTTGGATGGTAAGGGATGGGGAGGAAAGTGCGGTGTGGGAGGAGAGGAGTTTCCAAGATAACAACAGCATGTCCAACATCCCATTATGTGTAATTATGTGTGTCATAAAGAGATGCATTGAAGAATGACCACCAAAATGTTAGTGGTTACCTTAGGGTAGTATAATTCCATGTGACCATGACATTCTTTTATAACTTTTTATGTTGCTTGAATTATTTACAATGAGCATGTGTACCGTTGTCCTTTGGTATCCACGGGGGATTAGTTCCAGGACCCTTCATGAATACCAAAACCTGAGGATGCTCAAGTCCCTTATACAAAATAGCGTAGTATGCACATCTTCCCTACACTTTAAAGAATCTCTAGATTACCTATTATACTGAATACAATGTATATAGTTGCTATAATGTACTGTTTAAAGAATGACAAGAAAAAAATCTGTATGTGTTCAATACAGATGCAGCCTTCATAGGCCTAACCACATAGTATATATACATAGTATATATCAGCAAAAACGTAACTTTTGTTTGGAGTATTTTTGATCCACAGTTGGTTGCATCTGCGGATGTGTAACTCGTAGATATGGAGTGCTGACTATAATTATATAACTATAAAGAAGCAATACAATTATTTGCAGTTTGGAGGAAGACTTCTTCCTTAAAATTAAAAAAAATAATTTCCAATTTCAGTAGATTCTCAAAGGTCATAGGCATCCTCACCAAGGGAGGGCAAAAGTGAGAGTAAAATGATAAGGGCTTAAGAAAAATCAACTATAAAGTAAACGTATGTAAAACATTTGGCCAGAAAGTTCTGATATGAGGCCTAATACTTACTTAAAAATTCAACAACTGGGGCCGGCCAAGTGGCTCAGTTGGTAAGAGCGCGAGCTCTGAGAAGCAGGGCTGCTGGTTCGGTTCCCACATGGGCCAGTTACACTGCCCTCTACAGCTAAGATTGTGAACAACAGCTCAACCTGGAGCTGGGTTGCCATGAGTGGCTGGTGATGGCGTAGGCTACAGTGGGCTGCAGTGAGCTACCATGAGTGGCCAGCAGCCGGTGTGAGCAGCCGTCGAATGGCCGGCGAGTGACTGCCTCACCTGGGAAGAGTGCAATGATAATACCAACATGGGCCAGTGAAGCAACGTCCTCCACAACTAGACTAAAGAACAAAAGGACAACAACTTGGCTATTCCCCAACACTGTTCCCCTCCCCCAATTCCCCAATAAAAATACTTTAAAAAAAAATAAAAATAAAAAAATAAAATAATTCAGCAATTGTATACTTGGTATTCAAGCTCAGAAAAAACTCTTTTTCTAGTCTCCTGCTGATAAGAATCCGGAAAAAAGGGAATATAAGATTCGCTTCATAATAATCACTTGTGGGTTATGACACAAGAAGAGTAGACAGTAAAATAGAAATTTTATGACAACATTTCAGTTCAAGCCAGATTCCCTGTCAGGACATTTTCTGCCTCAATGAACAACGTAGGAATTAGTCACATCTTAACAAAATTCAGAGAAAGGGAGTTCAAGTATGAGCACCAGCGGCCATCTGATGCATGAAAATAAAGGAAACATGGGGTTTTCCCCAAGTTAAAAACTCCGTGATACACTTTTTAGATTACGGGAGGAACTGAGTACAAAAATACTTAGTATAAAGCTAGACTACAGTTAACAAAATAAAATCATTGTAAAAACTGAATACATGAATAAGAAAGAATAAAACATTTTTGATGTTAACTTTTCGACTATTATTTTTGATATAATCATCCTCAGTAAAATCTCCTGAAAGTGAAAATGAACAGGGTGATGGTACAGCCAGCAGGAGAAAGTCAGTGCTGATAACCTCCACTCGCTCATCCTGGGAGACCGCACACTACCGTTCACACGGTCTGCTCAGGGCCCCACAGGGAGGTGCCAAGACTCGTGTCCTTGTACTGCGGCAACAGGGGCTTGCCCAGGGCCACGCCAACTGGGATCAAGAAGCCATGTTCTGATGAAATAAACTATACAGAAGTTTGTTTCAGGATTTCATGCAAATACTAACTTCCTTTTAAAACATGGGCGTGGAGGCAGAATCACCCAAATTCAAGTGATTCAGGGTTAATGTAGCTGTCACTGGACAGTTTAAAAAAAAAAAAGTCCCATTTTAAAAGTTTCATCAGTCAAGATACAAAGGTACTTAGGATTGACATTCATCCTTCTTCATCACTGCTGCTCCAGGCATCTTGGAACGCTGGATTTAACTGTGATTTGCTTGTAGTCTAAAAAAAGGAGGTGAAAGGGAAGATTTGATTAATCTACCTCATAATTTTAGGCTTCCAATATAGTTATGAAATATATCAAATGAAAAGCAGTTAGATTATTTTGAAAGAAACTATAAAATTGTTAATTTCAAAACAAAAGTAATGTAAGAAACACCTCACATACGATATAATGTAACTTCATTTCACATACAATATAATGTAACTTCATTTGAATAAACGTACCAGACTTTATTCAAATTATGTCTCCCTCAAAGTAGTTACCTCAGAACACACACACACACACACACACACACACACACACACACACACACACATCACACACACACACTGATGCTGCTATTATTTAAGGCATTTCTGCAACTCTTTGGAACTCAGGTCTACAGTCTGACTTGAAAGCCCAAAATTAATGTTGGCAACTTTTTATTATTTGGATGGACCTGACTTTTATAAATAAGCAAATATCCATATATAGGGGTAAGGTTTTCATCAAACTGAGCAATGCCATTTTTGGTTCAAAAATTAATGTGGGTTATTAAGTTATGAGGTTTATTTATTTTTTTATAGTTGGTAAAGTATTATAGTTCAGAAGAACATACAAAATGTGTCAGAACTTGTTAACATGTTTGTCATTAGCACATAGGTTTCCCTGGGAGATTTCTTTGAAAGAGTATGCATGTACGTGGTGTTTATTTAAAACAACAAAACATCACAGTATTCTTACAACTTTAGAGCTGTGCCTAATAAAGGAAACCAACAACGAGAGGAATTTTAATTATCTGCGGTATTTCAAATCAATTCGCTTTTTGTGGAATCATTTTGAATGGCTACCTTTTTATTTTCTGGCAGATGACTAAAGGAAGGGCTTTAAGATGGTCTCATTTTTTTGAGTATCTGGATGTTATGAGCCAGATTTGCTTCTTATTCTGTAGCTTTTACATTTGCTACAAGTTTGTTCAGACCCCAAATCCAATAATGCATTAGCACCAAGGTTACTCTTAAATTATCTTACATGTATTGCCTTTTACAACACATAGCGATATTTTTTTGATGACGGTCACCCCTACTGTATGTCCGAGAATGTTCATTTCCTTTTTGATGAACATGATGCTTTAGAGTCTTATAATTCAAATAATGACAACAGTAGAAAAAGTAGGTGTTTCCAGTAACTACCCCAAGAATCAGCCAGGATAGTTGGAAAACAATATATTAATTTAGGTATTCTTAATAGCTGTTAAAGCTATAGATCACAGTCCATTACTAAACCTAATGTTGGCTCTTGTCACTCTTACTGAACCTAATGTTGCCTATCATCACTTAATTGTACAAACAAAATTCCATTGTACCCCAAATGTCCAGGTACAAAATTATTATTGAACCTCAGCTAACTATTCACTTATTTCTAGCATTAGTCCATGGATTTGCAAGAGTAGCACTCATTTATTCTTTCATCCAAACATTTACTGAATTTCCTACCTTTCTGGGTTTATAATTTAACTACTAGGTAGGTTATTTAGTGAGTTTATTCAGGGATGTATTGTCCTTCGGGGTTAGATGACCTTCTTCTCTACTCTATCTTTAGAAGACTTTAACTCTGCCTTAGTTGTCTACCAAAAACACCCATGGATAGATAAGCCATACAAAAGTCATGCCTCCTAATTTCACTATGTAAGCCCACTCTATTACTTATTAAATATTTTCATTTTATTTGTAGGCTCAACAGAAAAGTGAAATTGTATTTTATTGTAAATTATTGTTGCTATGGTGAGCAAAGAAACAAAAATAATGAAGTGAAAATCAAAACGCAGTTGAATATAAATTTTACTGTTCATACTAAAAATGGATAACAACATGAATTATAAGAACTATGTTTTATTGCTAAAAGATCCCACACAAAAAATACTTATAGTTAAAAGCTGTAGTAAAAATGATGTATATGGATGTGGTACCCATATTATTGTTTGAGACCCAATGATCAAGTGTAACTGCCAATTATTGCTTCAGTTTTCTGTACAGTATCTCCTCCTAGTGGACATCCTTTCTATGCTTGAACATATCCATCTTTACGTCACCACCAGGTTGCCTGTTCTACTGACAGATAGTTGTGAATTTTACAGAGATAGGAAAGCATGAGTTTAGAAAGGATCTAGTAGTCCAGGTCCAAATAAGGTGAAAAAAGTACAAAACCAAACTTAACATCTACCACACATACATCTTGATAAACTCTAAATTTCTTATTGGTAAATACTGGAAAGTCTCCATAAGTAGAATATAGGGTTGTTTGTGTCAGCAGGTAATTATACACCTACACAAGTGGTGAACAAAACAGCTAGTGTGACTGTCAAAATATAAGTAAGGGTCTTGGTGAGAAGTCAATTTAAACTGTAATGTAGCTCTCGGATTATAGATCTTGGAAAGGAAAAACTGATTGAGAGTTATATAGGCATGTCTTGACCATGACTAAGTTTTAGGCAACGGGAAGGCAGATTCCTCAGAATATAATAAAACAGCCTGCAAATTAAATAACAGGATTTATGCTTAAAGACCATAAAATCTGTCCCTATCACCCAATACCCTTCAGTGTCTTCTGACAGAACTAAATTTCTCCTGTCTTAGATCTCAGAAGCAACACCCATAAGGGATTATATCTTGGTTGATGGGGAAGTAAATCTCATCTCAAGGGTGGATGTGAAAGAAAACCTAAGAAAAATTTTGCTTTGGAAATACTATAAACTTGTCCCAGGTCACTAAAACATGGCAAAACTGGGATTTAAACCCAATTACCAGTATTATTATTATTTAGTTTACCTGAAACTAAAACTAAGTGAGTGTGTATGCATGTACGAGTATGTGTGTGTTTTGAACTGTGTTATGCTGCCTCTCTGGGAAACTGCAGCATTCACTTATTTCGATGGTTGAAATGAAAACCTTTCAAATATGAGTCAAACAGTAAATATATATAGAAGAAACTGGGGCACGTGAAGACAGACTTCTCTTCTGGAATCTGCACCATGATCACATTCATTATCCACCTACATTCACGGGACTCTTTCAAACTAAAGTTTTGCGAAAATAATCTTAGCACATGCCATTTTATATTTAATATGAGAAAATGGCTGCTTAAAGTGAAAATGTAAAAGTGTATTTTTAAAGATAAGGTTTTATAGCTCTAAAACTTAAAAATAAAGCTAACCTGTGTATCTCTATTTGATTTTCTACTTGTTCAGCTTCATTTCTCATGCACAAAAATTCTTCTAGTTGGGTTCAAACTATCACTATAACTACATAATAAGGAACTACACCATCAGAATCACATACTATCTTTATAAATTAAGCATTTTAGTTTTCTTTTAATATCCTTTTTCCAAATATGTCATAATAGATTTACTTTTACTTTTGTTTTCATTTGGTAAATAATTGTTATACTTCCTAACAGGACCTATAGTATTGTTATTTTGATTTAATGTACATAGTAATTCCCAAACAATAGGAAACAGTAATTAAATAATAATGTGAAATACATGGCTGAACCGAACTATTTGACCACAGTAAGCTTTCTCCAGAAGAATATTCAGTCATGTAAAGCAGCTATACACTGAAACTAATTAAAGCCATAATAAACCAAATTAGACACGTGATGAAATCTGGAAGTAGTCATACACTGTTTGGCCAGCTGCTTGAAGATTTATCATTGTGCATTATTTCTCTTTCATTTGGTAGGACCATATGAAAATAATTCACAGGCTTTACAGTGCTGTAAATCATAGCAGTTGCAAACTTAGGTATGAAATATATTGTCAATAGCTGTGAAATACTATCAACTACCTCCATAAAAATTCATTTCCATGTGGTTTTAGACAAAGTTCTGCTTCTTTAAAGGAACTAAATATATGAAAAATATTTTTAGAATTTGAAATGTACTCTAGCAACCACTTTTTCCCATCTCCATTTAAGGTGCTTTATTTTTATTATACTATGATCTTAGGTAAGATTAACTTAAGGTGTTTCTAACTACATTATTTCTCCTTCCAACTTACAAAAATTATATATATAAATATTGATTTTCAGACATTAGATTTTTAATATCCTAGAAATTAGGATGAATGGGGATGATTAACAGTGCTTAGTAAAATAATCTTTGATAAGAAAGATATCACCTATAGACCGCTTGACATAAAAGAATATAGAAGCTACTACTAAGACCAGGGATCATGTCTTTTGCATCTCTATTTACCCATCATAGCTTTCAAGGCTCTTTATTCACACTGTCATATTTGTACAATTTATGCTCTAAGATAGGCACTAACAGATTGCTGGTAGGAATGTATATTGGTAAAATCTGACAGTGTGAATAAAGAGCCTTAAAAATATACATGATAACTCAAGGGTTAAATCTACTTCTAGGAATCTATCCAAAGATGTAATCATAAATATAAACAATTTATGAACAGATATTTACCTTGATTTGTTAATAATGATCAAAAGAAATGTCTGCAAGTGGGTAAATATTTAAGTAAATTGTGGTATATCAATGATAGAATGCTATATTATTAAAAACAATAGTTATTAATGACATGGAAAGAGCCTTATTGTACATTAAATGGGATGCCAAGTTGTATGTCCAAACATGATATTATGTTAAAAAAAAGAAAAACCCATATGCATAGGAAAACAATAAAATAAGTCAAAATAATAAAAATTCAACTTTAGAAATTTATGTTCTTCTTTTAATATTTTTCTGTATTTTCCATATGTTATAACAGGTAAATTATTTTTAAAGTCAGAAAATAGCAAGAAATGCTTTAGAAGTTTCTCCCATATAAATTAATAAAACTTTTAGTTTATGATATAGAAATCACTGTACAATTTGTACAAATATTTACCTCATCATCATCAGGAACTGGTTCATATAATGATGGTACCCAAGCAAGAATATTGCAGTCTCTGCTACCACTATAAAGTTCCTATAACACAGAAAGCAGATTGTGGGTCAATTTAAAGCTGGTACCAATTGGAAACGAGCTACATCAGTTTTTAAGTGATTAAGTCTTAAGTTAGATCAATTTAATTAATTATATTTCTACTCCAGAAAACCTGGGCTAATGATCTTTTTTTGTTTTTTAAGATGTAGTAAAGCCTTCTTTTGTATTTTAAAACAATATTATGTCGAAATTTGCTAACATGAAAATTTACATAAACACTCAACATTCTAGCGGTTTTAATCAACCATAGTACACATTTATTTCAAATGTCAGAGAAAGAAAAAAAATGGACTAGCTTGTCCTTTTCTGTCTATAACTGAGCTTTAATTAACACTCCAATAAAGAATTAATATGAGTTTCTAGCTAAAATAGGCCAAAAGTTCACAAAGTTTTACTTAACTCACAACTGCTTAACTGGCAGCTAGCCAACTGAAGGAGCTTTAAGACCCATAAGCCATGCTTGTTATTTTATAAAAGGAAGCTTGAGTTGATGCACAGTCTATGTCAATGTCTTTATGGATATGCTGTTTGCACATGGCTGACCCATGTTAATTTCCCTCCCCAACAAAACTTAAGGAATATGTTATATTGGCAAGCACTGAAAACATTCCTATGGGGCAGTGAAATAATAGATCCTCTCAGATACAAGGGGCATAAATTGTTATAATCTTTTTGGAGAATAGAATCTCAATATATATCAAAAGTTTTTATATGCATTTCTAAGAAGTCATGCCAAAGATATACATGAAATTCAAGAATATCATCAGTATTTTATAATAAAAAATAGAAATAATTGTCCAAAAGTAGGGTAATGATTTATATACAAATTAATGTTGCATTTATATGATGAGTTATTCTAAAACCATTAAATTTATTTTTGAAGACTACTTAATGACATGGGAAAATACTCATAATGTCAAGAGTATTGTAATGTAAGTAATGTAAGATATAAACCAAATACTCAATGTGAAGGGAAAAAAACAGGATGTAAAACACTAGGTCCATTAAAAAAATTAAAAAACTACTATCTAAAGGAGAAAGGGATAAAAAGAAAAAACAGCAAAATGTTAAGTGGTTGTAAGACTCTGAATGACTAAGTGATTTTTCCCCCCCTCACAAATACATTTCTACACAAATATTTTTAACAATATAACTTTTTTCCTGCTCTGATAAGCAATTATTTATTTTTATTATTGTTCATCTCAAAAACTATTAGAAGCCTGGTACAATTAGTAGTTTTCTAAAAAAAAAGTAAGGGTTCTGAGTAAAGGGAAAATAAGATTATAAAGTTATTTATAGGAAACATAGATGTAAAAATTAAACTAAATTAGGTTTAGTTGTACATGATCCAATTTCCTAAATGGAACAAAATTCTATAAACTGTATTGTTAAATCTAGAATATATGGTTACACTAATTGTGGATAATGCAAAGATATTTTCAGATGTTCAGTGCCCTTGAGCAATTTAGTTTTCTGAGAAAGCAAGATATATACCCAAGATAACTTGGTCAGATAAGCTTAAGAAGCAATTCATGGGCCGGCTGAGTGGCGCGATGGTTGAGAACTCGCTTGGGATGCCAGAGGGCCCCGGTTCGGATCCCACATATGAGGGCCAGTGACACTGCCCTCCACAGCTAAGATG